TGGATTTTTTTTTCACATTCTGTCTCTCACAGTTGAAGTGTACCTCTGGTGCAAATTACTGACCTCTGTCATCATTTTAAGTGGGGGAACTTGCACAATCAGTGGCTGACTAAATACTTTTTTGCCCCACTGTAGGTTTACATAAAAACGTGAAACTGTGAAAAAAAGGGTACAATCAGCATAACATGAACTCTGTGTTAGCTTCTTTGTACCATCACCTTTGCCACAAACACTGTTTGTATCTCAAATACACAAACGGTCTCATCGGTGTCCCCCATAACCCACCCTCCAGGACCCTGGGGCCCAATAAGCAGCCATCTGCAGACAACCTCTTCCACCACACTCTGGCAAACATGGGCGAGTGCGTGCGTGTTTGTGTGTGTGAGAGAGAGAGAGGCAAAAAGGGGAGGTAGAGACAGTTCAAGGGCACGAGTACTCCATCAAGTTGAGTCCAGGGAATAGCCACCACCTTCCCTGGCCCCTCCCGTGTGTGCACCAGGTGAGCACCGAGACCTGTCCTTGGTGCTCGCCTGAATACACACAGTACGGTGCACTGATTACTTCACACCACACGCGCTCTTCAGTTTGAATTTGACCCTCCTCCGTGTGGCAGCCCCAGTCTTCTTGCCCGTGGCCCCAGCTGACTCCCGGCTCTGGCGTGGGTGGTTGGGTGGGGTGGCGTGGGGATTTGGGGGCACTGAAGCTGTCCTCTGGTGCTCTTGCAGCCCTGCCTGCTCATCCATCCTAGCCTGCCAGCCCACAGATCGATAGCTCTGCTCTCTTAATCAGGTCTCTGGTGACTGTGGGCGGACGAGTGCGTGTGTGCGTGTGTTTCTGTGTGTGGACAGAAGGTTGTATCAGCTGGGGGCTGCACTTGTATTTCTTTCTATCTTCAGTCCTCTGACTCTTCACCACGACTGTTTATCTCAACCGTATCGCCTTGGCTCATTCTCCTCGTTGCTTATTGCCCCGGCCGTATCACTTACTTCATGCCCTTTGCTGACTTTATTTTTTGCATATTAATTTCTTTCACCCTCATTTTCACAGCTGTTGTTAGAAATCCAATCACTGTGACAGTCCTGCATCGTATTTTTGTCTTCTTTCCCTGGCTTTACTTACATCTCTTCACACGCTCTCTGCACACTCTGGCGGCACGCCAGGGTTCATCCGAGAAGAGTCTCACAGCCGAGTCGGTCCCGGTACCACTGCAATTTGTCGTAACTCATGATGAAGACAGAAGAGGTTAGACATTGTAGGAATGGAGATGAGAACCGATGAGAGGTGAGAAGAGCGAGCGGAGCGAGAGGGTTAGTCAGATGGAGTGCGGGGCATCCAGCTGTGGTGTTGTGCCTTGCTAGAGAATCCGCCTTCAGGCTCTCATTGCACCTGCATAGCCACAGCTGCACAGACACAGTGTAACACTCTTTGGGGGAAAAAAAACTTCCAAAACACTTTTTAATTAAAAATTTCCAAAACTTTTTAATTTTCATATGAAAACTGTTATTCCAAGTGCATCAGTGTGTTTACAAAACTAAATCAACCCAACAGTGTTCATCGTCTTTCTCCTGATTTACCACCGCACCGGATTTCATTTTGTTTAGTGCAGGTTTAATTAACCATGATCCTTGATTCTGGTTACACCACTCTACCACAAAAAGCTGTCATTGTGCATTCTCTGATCACACCATTTTCACTAATCAAACATCAGAATATTTCAATAAGAGCACATTTACCAAACGCTGCTTCTGGGTTTGAGCATTTTTTTAGTGGAGCATTTGAAAATCCTGGTCATCACGATCCATGCACACCACAGCTAGCTGTTCCCCTCTCATTAATGCAGATTGAAGAGCGGACCCCTCAGTTTCGCTGGGTGCAAAACACTTCACAAAGTGTTTGAAATTTCATATTTATTTTTTGTTTTCCAAGAGCTGCCACAAACATTTGCAACCGATTCACTTTTTTTTTTTTAGCTCTAAAAAGGTCCTCTACGGACCTTTCATTGTGGGAAAGTAGCATAATTTGAAAGCACACTCACAATTGAAGTGTTTGGTTTTTTTATATGATAAGTACTTCAGTAGAAGACAAAGGGTCTTCTTTTTGATTCCTGAAGACAATAAGTTCCCTCAAGTTTGAATCAAATCTTTTGGACCTAAGTCATGACCTGGATAACAGCAAACATGTACAGAAACACTGTTTATACCACACCTTTTTGAAGCTAATATGGCTAATTTTGTGTCGCTAACACTGTGTCTCCTTGCAGAGGTTCTGTTCAATACTGCCCTAAACAAATATCAGACTGATGATTTCCACAGTTTTCCAATGTCACAGAAGAGTAAAAAGTGGTAGACAGTAAACATGTTTGCCCAGTGACTGAACGATGGTACTACTTGCTCACTGCAACTACTTGCATTTAGTTAGTTACAGATTGCAATGTGACTCCACAGGCGACCTCCTAATGGGAGGAAACCTGTCTCCCAGCAATCATAGACTGACTGCACTCACTCTCAGAGAGATTGGCAAATAATTAATAACAGGGTGAAAACGTATTGCAATCAATCTGCATCAGTTTCCACCAATGGGCACAAACTCTTTGTAACTGAGGACTTGAGTCGCCTGGTTGCCAGCTGGCTGTATTCTGGTTACATAGTTAAATCACCGTAGCAACAACTACTTTGTGGAGGAATTTCTGTTTCAAACCTGCGAGGTTCTGCTTGGACTGAACGTAAGAAGTTAATGTGAATTTCTGTGATCTGGCTTTCTGTGTTTGAAGACAGCAATGTATTTACAATTTTTCCTGATATATCTGATTTTTGCATTTATTTGCCAACTTGACCCCATTCACTCGCAAACTGTGAAACTGGCTGTCTCCTTTTTATTTGCCATTTTATCAGTCTTGATGCACCAATGTTGTTTTGAAGATGGCAGCTGATCGCAAGTGGTTACATACCTGTTCAAGGTCACGAGGTCACAAGTTCATTGCACACAGTCGCAAAACCTTTGATTATGATGTGCCCTCCGCTGTGTATTACATTTTACATATAAATTATATTTATAGTGTATTTATAGTTGCGAATAAGTTTCCTCAAATGTTAGCTTCCACGATGTTCCATGATGTCGTCATCTACTTTTCTGCCTCCTCTCTGTCTACCTGTGTGCAGAGAAACAGCCGTGTTTCTCTCTGCTGATGTACACCTGCAGTTCTTTATCCAGGCACCTGTATGTTGTCATGCAACTTTTCCAGTCATGAAAAGAATAGTCGCAGGAGGTCCTTCTTGTTGACCTTGCCCATTTGATTCCTCGGCATCTCCTCTACCACCACCAGGCCTGTAGGTATGGTGTAGGGTGCCATGTGCTCCCTGCAATAAACACCACTGTTAATATGGATGCACACACAAATACGCAACAACAACAACAACAAAAAAAGAAAAAACAGCAAACAACTGCAAAACAAAGGCTAGCCCTGTGGCGGAGTAGTCGAGATAAGGAAACGTCCTTCATACACTCTGCTGTTCTTCTCCCTTAATATCCCCAATTCGCCTTCCAGACACAGACAATCCCCCTTCATACAAAAACAATATAATCACTGCAAGATGAAATAAAAAAATAAAAATAAACAAATAATAAAAAGGGAAAACAGAAGGCTGTGATAATTAAAAGTGTTTTCTTTTTTTCCGTTTTGAATGCCTGGTTGTTACGTCAAGTCTTGAAGCCCGGAGCTTTTTTTATTATCTTCTAACCTAGTTTGTTTGTTTGTGCGGACGTGCGCGTGCTTTGGTGTGCAATCCAGTTGTGCGTGTGTGCGAGCATAATGACTGATATGACCGCCATCAAACACTCCTTTCAGCAGATGTCCGCGTGTTTCTGACTGAGTGAGTGAAGTGTGAATATATACGCATACGTACACGTCTCTGTAACGGGGGCTTGCGTGCTTGTGTCGCCGATTTCTCCAGGGCAATGTGTTCCTGTGTGTCTGCGTGCACGGGTGCGCGCGCACAAGCCTGAGCGTTCGAGGCGGTGTGAGGCAGTGAGGGTGAGACAGAGATTCAGACTGACAGCTGAAGCGAGGGCACTGAAGAGTGAGCATCCATCTACTTGTTTATGTCTCATTTTATCTCTTTCTCGCTCTCCCCTACACCCAGGCCTCAGCAGAGGGCTGTGTGCTGGAACTGTCTGTCTCCTGGGAGGACCCCTGGCTGCAAACACTGTGTGTGTGTGTGTGTGTGTGTGTGTGTGTGTGTGTGTGTGTGTGTGTGTGTGTGTTAACCTGAGTCACAGGCAGTAGTTGTAATCTACCATACTGGACCAGCAGGCGATAGCAGTGGGATCTAACATCCATACACCATATGGAGCTCACAGCAGTACACACACTCACACACACACTGCGCTCTACAAGAATTCAGTGATGTAAATAAATGACACTGGTGGGTTGTAGAAAGTGTGGAGGACAAAAACAGATGGTTGGAAAGTGAAGAAAAGGGTGTAAAAGAGAGTGAGAGCAGATTTTTTATGAAAACAGACTGGAGGAGATAAAAAAAAAAGACTGTTTGTGTCAGTGCAATGTGGAGGGTGAATGTCACCAGTAACCGTCTCTAGCAGACAAAATAAACTCAGCTGACATTTAGGAAGCGAAGTGAAAAAAACCAAACCGTTAGGTAGCAGGACAAAGTCCTCTGTAATAATCATTTGTTTGCTTCCTCCACATCTTCTTCTTCTTTTTCATCTCCCTCATTAGTCCATCTCTGGCCTTTCTTTCTCTCACATCCTTTGCTATTGATCTGGGGACTTGAAGGCCAGTCACTGGGGATGTGTGTGCTGCTCAGAGACCCACACAGTCAGAATTAGGTGCCTCCATTTGGTCCACTAAACTACATAAAATTGAACTAGTAGTTTAGCTTTCAGTTCTAAAGGCTTACAAATCAAGACATAACAAAAAAAAATCCAGCCCTTTCCAGGTCCTGAAATTAGGCAATGACAATGTCAGATGAAGAACAAAACATGACATATTACACCATGTCATTATTTATTTAGCAAAAACAAAGTGCAATAACCTGAAGCAATGGTTTTCTGTATGACTTTATCAGCCTCTCACATTATTGTGGGAGAACTCATAGCCCTCATCTTTACAATGCTGCTTCAGTTTATTGAGGTCAGTGAGCGTTCATTCATGCACAGCTCTCTTAAGTTCCCACCCCAGTATTTAAACCAGGCCGAAGCATGGACGTTGGACCATTGCAATGCTTTCTTTGATCTTTTCAGTCATTCTGTTGCAGATTTGCTGCTGAGCCCGGATCCCTGTCCTGTTGCATGACTCAGGATGGGCCAAGCTGTCAGACAGATGGCCTCACATTTGACTCTAGGAGACTTTCATGGTTGACTCAGTGCCATACTTGTTGAGTTTGCTCCTAATTGTACTGTCATGAACGTTAACATTTAACATGCTAACCGTTCTTCTTTTTTTAGTTTAGGAGTGATTCAAGCAGCTCAATTCTTTTCTCTATTTAAATGAAGGATTTTTTACCTTTTATTTTAACATTGCTGTTCTACTGTAATTGGACTTCCTTTTACAAGCCCCACCCACTGTTTATTCATCTCCTGCAAAGGCACGGTGATTAATTCGTTAGCACTGCTTGTGCTCACACAGTGACAAAGTCATCATGCATAAAACATCCCGAATCTCAAATCACCATGGCCACACAAATGCATAACACTGACTACCTCAGCTGAGAAGGCCCGATTAGGAGGATTTTATTGCTACAATGTTACTTTTTGTTTTATATTTTATATATTTTTTATTTGAACTATTTCTTCAAAGCAGCTTTATAAACCTAGATTTCTTCAGTGGGTAGTTTTATTTTAGATCAATTACTTCTAGTATCAAGTAATAGGTTAATTGCAAAGCTATGCCTTCAAAGTAGTTTCCCCAGCACTGAGCAGAACTGACAAAGAGCTGTGAAGATTGTCCTTTTAAATCAGCTTAAGAAGACTTAACAAAAACACGGTCCTGTAATAATAATGGGATACGATGCTCTTTTTGGAGTTTGTTTTTGTGGATTCAGGATGATGGATTAGTTGTAAGTTATTCAGGTCACAATCTCCACTGGTGGTATGAGCTTGGAGTCCCCCTGGGCTGCAAAGCACTTTTAAAGGTGGCAGGTGGTCCAGTGGCTAGTGGTGTTACATCTCTGTTTTTTCAAAAGCAACACTTTGCTTAAAGAAAAATCAAAGCTTTGCTGTTTAAAGTCCAACACCAGTTGAAACACCAGTTTAAAGCAATACATCCATGTTTTTTCTCATATGACTGGGGTTCTCTCTGTAATACTGCAGTGTCTTTGTGTTACAATATAATTCACAATGCAAAGTCCATGTTTTACTAAAGTCTGCTTCCACTTGGACGTGTTTATCTGGTGAACAGAGTCCATTCCTGTAAAAGCAGAGCCACCTTAAACTTTTCTGACAGTTCACATATTTGCCTGAAAGAAAATACAGCATGCATTTTCACGCAGTGTGGATGTTAATATCAGCATAGCCTGATAGAATAGTACAGGTTTATGCAAAAATGTGGAAAAATATCCCTATATGTAGCCTGTCAACAGCAATGTATTTGCTGGATATCAAAATAAAAGCAGGTATACACACAGTGACTTTCACCCTGTGACAGCTGGGATAGGCTCCAGTCCCCCCCGGTGACCTGAATTGAATAAGTGGGTAAGAGAGTGGATGGATTTTATGCACATAATGCTTACTTTTGTCTGCCTAACATGTTTGATTTGGCCGACTTTTTAAACCGGATGCCTTCTTGACTCAAGCTCAAAGGTGTCAGTATCTCCTCACCGGAGCTTGCTCACTTGCTAGGTGAATAAACCACAACACCAGTTGGTATGTGCATAATAAGAGACAAAATTAATTAGAAAGCTCCAAAAACAGTGCACAAAGCAAAGGTTATTCAGCTGAAAGTCACAGTACCTTGCCCAGGTCTTCAATTCTGGCAAAGTCATGCTCTTGCCCCTCTTCAGCTGCACTACAGCAGTGACTTTTTGACCCCACGTGGCATCTGGGGCTCCAATCACAGCAACATCTACAAGGTTAAATGTGACAAAAAATCAGACAAGCTGCAGCTAAAATTCAGCTACTCCTTTATTTTTGTCTTTCTCTACAGCAAAAGGACACCAAACTCATTTTTGATGAGTTACCTTCAGCACATAACTGCTGGATATTAACAGTGATCAAATGGTTGAGGTGCTGGTTCAGGGCTTTAATTACATGTGTCTTACAGTGGTGACATTACTTCATTCCACTTACCCGTGATGTCTGGATGAGCCAGAAGGTGACGCTCCACATCGAGTGCGCTGATCTTGTAGCCACCACTCTTGATGATGTCGACACTGGTGCGACCCATGATCCAATATACGCCGTCTTTATACACAGCGGTGTCTCCTAGAATACAGACAGGCCCATACAAGAAGGACAACGTGATGTAAGGGAAACACAGGGAAAATTACAGTCATAATTTTCTGGAGCACCATTTCTATAGTTATTAAGCCCAATTACAATATATATACCTAAAAACAAGGCTGATAATGAACTCAATTAAAAAAATTAAGTAATATTTTTTTATAGCTAAGAATAGGGAATGTAGGGTATGTAAACTTGTATCTGTGTGTAAGAGAGCGTGTGTGTTTGAGACACAAAGTCAGATAACAGTGGATGGATGAGTGTTTAAGTTGCCCCATCCTCCAGACATACATCCTCCACAGACCCACGCACACTCATACATAAGTTTCTGGGGGACAGGTGTGGGGGAAGGCGAGTACAGTATGTGGGATGAGGGGCGCAGCTGCGCTCGTGTATGACGAGCTGGGGAAATGGGTCAGTATGGATCAGTGGGGAGAGATTAGGGAGAGAAAAATGGACGGAGGAGGGAAGGAGAGGAAGCCTGAAAATAAGGATCAGGAATATATTCTTTAGCAGAATTACATTGGGGCTGTCCACAGCTGAAACAGAGAGTGGACGCAAGTGTGTGAGACACTGTGATGAAGTGATGCATAGCAGTTAAGGTTGGATGAATAGGTTAAAAGGTCAGCGAAGGTCAGGGACTGTTCAAATATGCAAAGTGAACCTTTACGTCTTAAAGCCAGCTGTGATGTTAGAAAATCTGACTCTTTTTCACACATTTATTATGACAACTTTTCACATCTTCCAGTTTTCATCGTGCTCAGCTGGGTTTTTTCTCTATCCAGGAAGTTGGTAGGTGGAGTTGGGAAGCTTGTTTGCATGAACCAGCAAGATCTGGGCTGAGTAGAGAGCAAAGTGCATAAAGGACTGCCATCTGGGTTATTTCTCTCTCTCCTTGGGCTCCTGGCCTCTTTTCCTCGTGTGTCTTTGGTTTGCTCTTCCAAACCAAAGACACAAAGACCCATGTATACACTCAGCCCTCCATTAAACACACTACTGGCTGACGTGACTACTTGAATATCTCATAATTTCAAAACTGCCCCTGTGAAGTTTCTAAGCAAACAGAAACTCTGGGAATTTTCTACTTTCTGCCAAGAAACAGTCCTCTCAGTAAATGCTCTGTAAAAATGCTACACTCTTGATTTTATTTGTATTTTTTCTATTAGCATATTCATTAGTGTGTTTTAGAGGTGCTTATAAACAGATTTAGCACTTTGTCCTGAGGATGTCATGAGCTCAGATTTTCACTACATAATTATTATGACCAAAAGAATTCTCTATAAGGACATTATTATGATGGCCATAGAAATCTTTAATTTACTTTTCATGTGTTTAGTGTCCTAGTCACACTTGGCTGGGAACACCTTGGCAACTACCAGGGTTGGTATGGAAAAAACTGTAGTTTCCATCTGGTTGGCAAGTGGTTGCTGGCAGTTGTTGTGAAACCAATTTCAAACGCCTCAGTCACACAGGGCTTGGTCAGCGAACCCTCCAACATCCACAGGTTGTTAGGGAAGAATCTACAGGTACATTCGATCACAAAGAGGTAATACAGCCATGCCTTGAAAACCTGCATGTGATTGCTTTTTTGTGTTACATTTCTGTGCATACTATACTACGATATACCCGCTACACATGTGTCTTTCCGGTGTACTCTGCACCCGAGACTTAGGAAAAACACAACTTGGACACCAGTCATTCAGTCTCCACAGCATCTGTGTACACAGCTTGCAAGTTAGTATAAACCTATCCTTAAGATGCCACACAAATTATATATGATGTTACTGCACATGATATCACACGTTAGCCTTTCCTTTTGTTCCTGTTAAAGTAACTGGTTGCTGGCTGGAGCTTCATATTGATTAAAATTGTGTCAGCAGTTTAACTCTCAGTAAAAAAGTGCACAAAGCAAAATCCTTAAAGGCATGGTTGGACATTTATTCCCCAAAATGCTGAACAATTCTGAGGGACATAGTTGCACTTGTAAGCTTTACACAGCACCCCTCAGCATTGCAAAAAACCTCAGTGTTGCTCAGTTAAGAACATTTAAGGTAAAGCTGTGCGTGTTTGCAGACTGTAGCTGAAAAATATGGAGTCAATAAAAGAAAGCAACTGCACCTGCCTCACCTGGAATCAGCACGAAGCATTGTAGGAGAGGGATTACATTTTGATGGTGGTCTGTTTTTACTGCCATCTTCCACCTGTCCTCTATTCCATCATTTAGTCTGTACTGCTAACCCCGTATCCCTCCATCCGTCTTACCTATACGTCCATGTTTTCAGCTTCTCCAGCTCCAGTGCCACACAAACACAAACAAACTATGTTTTCTTACGTTTTCAATTCTATTTTTATGCTTCATTTTTTTTCCAACTACCTCTCAAACATCTCTCATCACATCTTCTGTTTCCTTCTCTCCACCTCTCTTCCTGTCTCCTCTTCCCCCCTCTTGCCTCTCCACCTCAGCATCAATAGAGGGCCCATCTGTTCCCATACATCATGCACTTCATTTCAGTTTATTAGCTGGGATAAATCATAAATATTTCATTATACATCACGGGCGGCTGTCGCCTGCACACCGACAATTTATCACCGCTGCCCTCTCTGCCGGCTTGCCACGGCGGCTATAAGCTTTCCAGTCTATTAAACAAGATTGATACAGTGTGTAAATTTAGATATTGGGAATTTCTTCACAGACCACTGCTCCGCACTGATAGGCCAGGGTAACAGGAGGGAGGAAAGGGAGGATGGAGGGAGAGGGGGAGAAAGTAGAGAGGCGAGCAGAGGAGCTGGTTTGGTGTTAACACCACTATCAGGGTAGTTACAGTTCCCCCTCTTTAAGATGAGGGGCAAAAGAAGAAGAAAAAAATGATTTGGTTTCAGCCATGTAGCTCTCTCATCTTATGCAAACAGATATGGAGAAATGAGCAGTTTACGTGCACACTGATAAACTGTTTGTGTATCCTGCGTGGGCGTGTGTGTGCGCGCAAATTGAAACAGATAAAAACATACAATAAAATCAGTACATCTAGCTGTAGCGTCAAGGAAGAAAAGCTGCATTAACGAAGCAAACCCTGACAAAAGGGTTTGAAAAGGAAAGCTCAGACAACATAGTTGAATTGAGTTTGAAGTACTTATACAGGACTCTTTGACCTTGTCTCTTTGAGGGGAAGGAAGTAACGAGGGATAGAACAACATGTTTGGAGAGATGCACAAGTGGGAATAGCGATTGGAGAACACAGACTGATAAAAGAGGAAAGAAGGGCGGGAGCGGGATTGTTGGGAACTGTGTTACTAGGACGTACATTTACACACACAAATATACACACATGCGTACTGTATGTACTCACACACAACACATGCGTACGCACACACACGCACACAATCACTACTTCAGGCATCAGAGACTCTCCGCCATTATGTGTTATGGCGTCTGAGGCAGATATGGCCGAATGGCTTTCCTAATTAAAACGATAAGAAGCCTAATTGCACTGGGCTTTCATCTCATTCTGAGGCATTAAAGAAAGTGAAGGCACACAGTGTGAAAAAAAGAAATAAAAATAGATCAAGAATTTAACTGAGGATGGAGGGTCAGAGGAAACTTCCACAGTGTCTTTCAGAAAACCAGGAAAATGACATTAGAGGGGTTCGCAGAAGCAGAAAAGAAAACATCAAATTATTTCAAACCAATAACAAGAAAAACAGCATCGTGAGGAGAGGTGAGCTACGAGCAGCTGCAATATTTCCAACTATTTAACCAAGATTACAGTAAAGCAGAAATTGCCTTTGGAAGGTGACTCATTTATTTTAACAAAAATGAATCGCTTTCACTCTTGCTGTGATATTTTTGCAGAATAAAAAATAAGCTTTTGTCGGTGATATCCTTGACGCAGGAAAACCAAACATATTATACTGAACAAACTGTAGGAAAAAAAGTGGAGAAATGAAGGGAAACTGTATAGTTAAAACAAAAGCTGGTGTATGTTTTTGATGGTATGATACAGTTGACAGAGCTGATATACACTGTATGGACAGGCTGGGGTTGGTCGGGGCCCCTTAGTTCAGTCACACAGGCCTGCAGTTGCTAGGGAAAAATGTGTAATCTGAGATTGGCTGGCAAGTGTTTCCTGGAGACTGCTCGCTGTTCCCACGTGATTGGCTGCAAAGTGGGTATTACACCAAAAACAGAGAAAGTTTTTGTCTTCAGAGTAAAAGTTGTGCCTCACCACTACAACCAACACATGCCAAAAGCTGCAACTTTCACTTTGAAGGCAAGCATTCTCACACTTTTCAGACTCTCACTACCACGCACGATGTGGTAATGAAACTGAGACCAGTTGGTATCTTCCATGCAAGCAGTTTCAAAGCACAGTTTCACTAATAAACCGCAGTAATCAGAGATTCACTGACATCTGTTTAGACCTTTATGAATGATCTCACAGAGCTGCCACTTACAAACCTGTTAGGGAATTCACATTTTTCTGTTGTGGTTGCCAACAGGTCTTACCTGACGCCTTACCACGATATTCGAAACAATTCTGTGTATCTAACTTCATGAGAACAGTTTACCCTTCTCTGTCTCAGTATGACTGTTGGTGTGTTCCTAAAAAAGCTGGAAGTTGGAATTTCTGAGTTCTCAGTCAGAGCTGAAATCTGGAATTCCCCTTCGACTCGGATTTCCCACCAGGAAAGTCGGAAAAGACCCAGCAACCCCGAGTTAACAATCCAAGATGGCGGCACTGAACAGTCATAAAACTATAAAACTGTTCATCTGCACTGCCAGCGTTGTGTATTTATGACTGCCTAAATAAGCAATAAACAGCGCACTGACCAGCCTCCATCCATAATGTGCTGCAGCAGTTTTCAAATTAAAAGTATAAAAAGAAACAAGTATTATGATCCTATTTTTATATAGGATTTTATAATCCTACTTTTACTTCCTTTTTCTGGAACATGCTAAATTGGGAGTGGTGTCACTCCCGAGT